TGCTTTCATTTAATTAAGTATTGCAACTTCTATATTTCCATTTCCATAGTCGTTGGATTATTAAAACTCTGCAACCAAATTCAAGGAGTGTTTTTTTTAACTTTATTAAAAGATTCTGTACAGCATGCATGGTGTTGGGATTAGACCCAACGCCCTCTTAGGGTCACATGCAGCAGGCCCAATTACGCACCCATAGGCCTAAGAGGAGGAGACATACCTACGTGGACAGCACCACGTGAGCCAATGAGAGGTTTACATGTGCAGATACATGTCAGCACTTGGGGCTATAAATACCCCCCAATCACCTCCGAAGAAGGTAATTAATCTCTACACTTCTCTCTCTGCAATTACTCCTTGAAAGCATCTTTCTCTAGAATATTGAGTATTGCTGACTTGAGCGTCGGAGTGTTTTCTCCGAGGAAACAACCTCGGGATTTTCAGGTGTAGAAGCAGTTAAGGACTTCAACAGTGTTGGACTGCGAAGCTGCCCAAACATTTGGCGCCGTCTGTGAGAACTCGAACAAAAAGCTTTATTTCTATGTTGATCCGGTTGATCAGAGGGAGGAGAAGATGTGTGAAAGGCTCGTGGCTTATTCTCTTGAGTTGCAGATAGTTGCAGAAGTCGATCCGGTGAATTTACAAAATGGTTTTATTCATCTATGAAAAAGAGAAGCTTCACCTGCAAAAAGAGAAGTTTTCACAAGAAGACAAACAAGGGGTTAGCTTTACACAACTATCGAGGTTCTACCTAATGAAATAAAGGCACGCATGGTGCAATATCAACCATGAATATTCAAAAAGAAAAAGAGGTGTCAGCAAAGCACAAGTTTAAGGCAACTCAAAGTGGTAAAAAAATAAAAAAAATAAAAAAAAAATAGTGATAATAAATAAAAAGAAATGGTGGGCACGGGACCATGAAAGTTGCGACCATGATGAGACAAGACGAGCTCAAGCTTGATGGCAGCGACAAAGCAGCCGCCCAGCTCGTCAATGCCAAAGTAGTCCCCTAGCTTGGCAGCGACGAAGCAGTTTCCAGCTCGACAAAGCAGTCCAGCTCGCAGTGGCAAAGCTCAAAGCAGTGCTCCAGCTCGGCAGCAACATGACAGCCCAGATCTGCAGCACCAAAGCAGTCCAGCTCACAGTTGCAAAGCTCAAAGCAGTGCTCCAGCTCGGCAGCAGCATGACAGCCCAGCTCGGCAGCGGCAAAGCTCAAAGCAGTCCAGCTCGGCAACACCAAAGTAGTCCAGCTCGGTAGTGGCAAAGCTCAGCAGTGCTCCAGCTCAGCAGCAGCATGTCAGCCCAGCTCGGCAGCAGCATGACAGCCCAGCTCGGCAGCACCAAAGCAATCTAGCTCGGCAGTGGCAAAGCTCAAAGCAGTGCTCCAGCTCGGCAGAAGCAAGGCAGTCCAGCTCGGCAGCTCGGCAAATATGAGCATTCTCCAGGTCGGCATCTCGGCAGCGCCAGAGCTTAGGACCATGAAAGTTCTTAGAAAAATAAGTTCACAAATGAGGCGCCCTCAATGAGACAAGATGAACCCGAGCTTGATAATGGTGGCAAAACAGTCGCCTAGCTCAGCAGCGACAAGCAGTCCCCCAGCTCGGCTGTGGCAAAGCGACCTCCCAGCTCCTCACCACGTACCAAGCAACTTTGTAAAGAAGCCCGTTAAGGAAGACGCGAGCAATTAACAAAATATGATGATGGTTAGCCTGTACTTGCAACAAATTAATAGCACTTTATGAAACCAACGGGAAGACGCGGGTTTCGACCACAAGCATCCCTGGGCAATAAACCACTTAAGCTTGGTTATAGCTCTGCAATTATTAGGGAGATGGATCCTAATCTTTTATTATTTTACTTTATTTTGGATGTTGTTTTATTTTCCTTTATTGAAAAGCAAGTTGGGATCTTCCTCCTTTTTGAATTTGTTCTTACAGAATCCAAGAGATGAGTCCTTGACTAGGTAGCTTGCCAGTATGAAAATCTCTAGGAGCTGCATCTTGATCAAACACGAGCTCACGAGCTGCCGAGCTCAAACGCATGATGCAGAACTCAAGCATGAGCTCACGAGCTGCCAAGCTCAAAAGCACGATGCAGAACTCAAGCACAAGCTGCTGAGCTCAAAGGCATGATGTAGAACTCCAGCACGAGCTACCGAGCTCAAAAGCATGATGAACTCGAGCACGATCTGCCGAGTACAAGATGCCGAGCTACAAGCATCCTACCCGAGGTCGAGCTAAAAGATGTGGAACATGAGCTGCATGCAACCTGCTCGAGCACGAGCTGCAGAGATGCAAATATCCTACCCAAGGTCGACCTGAAAGACGTGCAGCATGAATCGCAAAGGGTCAACACCCTCAACAATGTGTCCACACCTTTTATGCATCAGTGCCAAAGAGTCCGTGTCGAGTTTTTGTCCTTCCCTGCAAATTCTATTAACGGTAAAATTACAGTCCCGATCCCTTACTTAGGGATTCTGCACAATTTAATCACCAAATTTCATATCTTTTCAATTTACTCCTAAGGATTGTGACTTCTTCCAATTAAGTCCTTTCCAGCACAAAGCATGAAAATTATGTAAATTAAGTAAAATTTCATAAAACTCATCCAATATCAATAATATCAAGGTATAAATTTTACATTAATATGTACGAAGGAAGTATACTTTCTTGATTATAAGATTGGATGCCTTTGATTTCTCTTTTTTTTTTAAGTCCTTGTGATACAGGTTGTCAAGAAAACAATCAAGCTCCGCAGCAAACTAGAGCTTTGGTCCAAGCTTGGTCCAACCTTATATTAAAATTTATTATTAATTGCTTTCTGCATTTCTTGCATTCGTTATACATTTTTTCCATTCATTATGCACTTGTTTTTGCATTCATGATATCATTTTGCCATCTCATTTTTTATATATATCATAATCATTCTATTTTGCTCATTCGCACTCATGATTATAAATATATATGTGTTGCTATTTTAGAGATGAAAAAGTGCAGGGAACAGGTTAATTATGTTGGCTTAATCAACATATATAAAGCTCCCCATACACTATCAAAAAGTCAGAAGCTCCTCTGAATAAATTCAGACAAGAAGGGGGAGAAATAAGGGGAGTTCTACATTTTACATTCTACATCAAAGTTTGAAGAACAAGGGCGTGAATAATTTGAGCTTGCCCCAAGACCTCGTCAACAGATGAGCAGGGCCGAGCAAGATCCAAATCTCCATTTAGTGAGCTCTTACATCAGTGTTTTCCTTGAGCTTGCCCCAAGACCTCGTCAACAGATGAGCAGGGCTGAGCAAGATCCAAATCTCCATTTGGTGAGCTCTTACATCAGTGTTCTCCTT